GGTGATGAAGGAGGGCGTAGAACAGCGCGGTGCGGCCGTGACCGTCCCGGGCGCGCACGTCGGCCCCGTACTGCGGGCACGGCCGCGTCACCCGCGGGGCCGGGGGTGTCCCTCGGGGGCGGGTCACACCCCCCGCGTGCCCCCGGGGTGTCTTGGCACATCCCAGGATTGCCACGGGCACTTCACGTCCCCCATGGTCATGCCGTTGTCCCCAGGATCGCACCGTGTCCCCCATGACCACCCCGTGTCCCCCAAAGCCACCCCACGGTCCTCATGGCCACGTCACTCACCTCCCGGCAATGCCACAGTTCCCAAGGCCACCTCCCATCCCTCAGGGCCACACCACAACCCTGATGACCACCCCATGTCCCCAAGACCACCCCATGGTCCCCATGACCACACCCTGCCCCCTATGACCACCCCATGTCCCCAAGACCATCCCATGTCCCCATGACCACCTCATGTCCCCAAGACTACCCCATGGTCCCCAATGACCACACCATGCCCTCCATGACCACCCCACAGTCCCCCATGACTACCCCAGGTCCCCATGACCACCCCCCATCCCTCAAGGCCACACCACGTCCCCGATGACCACCCCATGTCCCAATGACTGCCCCATGGTCCCCATGAGCACCCCATGGTCCCCATGAGCACACCATATCCCTCAAGACCACCCCACATCCCCAGTGACCACCCCATGGTCCCCATGAGCACCCCACAGTCCCCATGAGCACACCACGTCCCCGATGACCACCCCATGTCCCCATGACCACAGCACAGTCCCCATGACTACCCCATGGTCCCCATGACCACCCCACATTCCCATGACCCCACCACACCCCCCACACCCATGTCACAGTCCCCACCACCATGTCATCCCCCTCATGGCCACACCACAGCACCCATCACAACCCCACATCCCCCCAAGACCCCACCACTGCCCTCCCATGTCCCAATGACTGCCCCATGGTCCCCATGAGCACCCCATGGTCCCCATGAGCACACCATATCCCTCAAGACCACCCCACATCCCCAGTGACCACCCCATGGTCCCCATGAGCACCCCACAGTCCCCATGAGCACACCACGTCCCCGATGACCACCCCATGTCCCAATGACTGCCCCATGGTCCCCATGAGCACCCCATGGTCCCCATGAGCACACCACATCCCTCAAGACCACCCCACATCCCCAATGACCACCCCATGGTCCCCATGAGCACCCCACAGTCCCCATGAGCACACCACGTCCCCGATGACCACCCCATGTCCCAATGACTGCCCCATGGTCCCCATGAGCACCCCATGGTCCCCATGAGCACACCACATCCCTCAAGACCACCCCACATCCCCAATGACCACCCCATGGTCCCCATGAGCACCCCACAGTCCCCATGAGCACACCACGTCCCCGATGACCACCCCATGTCCCCATGACCACAGCACAGTCCCCATGACTACCCCATGGTCCCAATGACCATCCCACATTCCCATGACCACCCCATGGTCCCAATGACCACCCCACATCCCCATGACCCCACCACACCCCCCACACCCATGTCACAGTCCCCACCACCATGTCATCCCCCTCATGGCCACACCACAGCACCCATCACAACCCCACATCCCCCCAAGACCCCACCACTGCCCTGCCCAGCGCTGCCCGCCGCGCCGTGCCCACGTACCCACACCAGCAGCTGGGTGACCACCACCTGGGCGGTGTCGCAGGCCAGGTGCAGCGCCGTGCGCCGCTCCGCGTCGGCCGTGGGCACGTTGAGCTGCTCCTTGTGGCTGTGGGCCAGCAGCAGCAGCACGGCGGGCAGGTCCTGCTGGCCCACGGCCCCCCGCAGCCGCTCGGCCAGCGGCGCCTCGGCCGCGGGCAGCGGCGCCAGGAACAGCCGCTGCTCGTACTTGGCACGGATCCACGACTCCCTCTCCTCCCTGGCACGGGGACACGGGGACACGGGCGTTAGGGATGGCAGGGTGGCACCATGGGGATGCAGTTCCTGCTCCTCCCAGGGCATGGGGACACAGGGACACGGGGACATGGGCGTTAGGGATGGCAGGGTGACACCATGGGGATGCAGAGATGCAGTTCCTGCTCCTCCCAGGGCATGGGGACACAGGGACATGGGTGTTAGGGACGGCAGGGTGGCACCACGGGGACGCAGTTCCTGCTCCTCCCAGGGCATGGGGACATGGGATGTCAGGTATGGCAAAGTGGCACCACGGTAGTGCACAGATGCAATTCCTGCTCTTCCCAGGGCATGGGGACACGGGGACACAGGGACACGGGGACAGAGGGACATGGGGTGTTAGGGATGGCAGGGTGGCACCATGGGGACGCAGAGATGCAATTCCTGCTCCTCCCAGGGCATGGGGACACAGGGACACAGGGACACAGGTGTTAGGGATGGCAAAGTGGCACCATGGGGATACAGCTGCAATTCCTGCTCCTCCCAGGGCATGGGGACATGGGGACACAGGCACACAGGTGTTAGGGACGGCAGGGTGGCACCATGGGGACGCAGAGATGCAATTCCTGCTCCTCCCAGGGCATGGGGACATGGGGACACAGGCACACAGGTGTTAGGGACGGCAGGGTGGCACCACGGGGACACACAGATGCAATTCCTGCTCCTCCCTGGCCATGGGGCACAGCTGTGGTGGGAGGACACAGGGGTGTGGCAGTGGGGACACAAAGGTGGCAGGGGCGCATAGTGGCATGGCAGGGACAGGGAGAGTGAAAATGGGGGGACACGTGAGGACCAGGGACAGAGGGTGGCAGCAGGGTGACAGGGGAGGTGCCACACAGGGGTGTGAGGAAGTGCAGGGGTGCCAGTGTGGCATTGCTGGGTCGTGGGGTCACAAGGGACAGGAGGTTGGGGACAGGGGGGCATTGAGGACGTGGGGTGGCACCGCAATGATGTGAGGAGAAGGGGAGTCAGAGTCCATGGGATGGCACAGCGGTGACACACGGGGTGGGCACGCAGGGCATCAGGGATGGCAGGGTGGCATCATGGTGGCATAGAGGACAGGAACTTGTCCTGCCATCAGGGATGGCAGGGTGGATTCTCGGTGGCATAGGGGACAGGGACATGGTGATGAAGGAACTTGTGGTGGCATCAAGGGTGGCTGGATGGCATCGTGGTGGCATAGAGACAGGAACTTGTGGCATTATCAGGGATGGCAGGGTGGCATCACAGTGGCACAGAGGACAGGGACGTGATGGCATCACGGTGCATGGGGGACAGGGACATGTGGCAGCATCAAGGGTGGCAGAGTGGCATCATGCTGGCACAGAGGCCAGGCACATCCAGTGACACCAAGGATACCAGGTCACCATCACGGTGGCACTCAGGACAGGCCCACGCGGTGGCACGGGGACAAGGGGTGACGGGGGCACGCGGGGCGGGGTCACCCACCGGGAGGACTCGTGGGTGGGCTTGCAGCGGCCGCGCGGGTTCTGCTCCCAGATGCTGTTGGCCGTGGCGTTGCCGATGGCCGTGAGCACCAGGGTCAGCTCCCGCGGCCAATCGTCCAGGTCCAGCGAGCGCACGCGCGACACGTGCGTGCCCAGGTTGCGGTGGATGCCCGAGCACTCGATGCAGATCAGGGCGCCCAGGTTCAGGCTGGCCCACGTGGGGTCTGCGGGGGCACGGGGGGGTGGTCGGGGTGCTGGCTGAGCTGTGGCACCCCTGCGGTCCCCGTGGTGTGGGACACGGTGTGACACATGGCACGGCACGTGGTGGCAGTGAGCCACGGCACGGTGGCATCGTGTCACCCCTGGCATCATGTCCCACAGCATTGTGTGGCTTATGGTGTTGTGTGACCCATGGCACAGTGTGGCCTGTGCCATCCATCGTGTGACCCATGGCCTGTGCCATCCACTGTGTGACCCACGGCACCGTGTGGCACATGGCAACACACGACCCAGGACATCGTGTGACCCACGGCACTGTGTCACCTGTGCCATCACATGGCCCACAGGGTTGCCAGGTGGCCCATGGCCCGTGGCACAATCTCACCCCGTGGCAAAACCACCTGGATTCAGGGCTCTGCAGGGCCCGTGCCCCAAGCTGTCCCATGAACAGATGTCCCCCCTGTCCCATGTCCCAGCCATCCCGTCACTGTCCCCGGTGCCCCAGGGCCTCACTGGGTGCCCTGCAGTCCACACAGAGCGAGTTCCCATGGGCACTGCTGTCCCATGAATGGATGTCCCCCACCTGTCCCATGCCCCCGGCTGTCCCATGTCCCAGCCATGCCCACCCGCCATGTCCCAGCCATCCCGTCACTGTCCCCGGTGCCCCAGGGCCTCACTGGGTGCCCTGCAGTCCACACAGAGCGAGTTCCCATGGGCACTGCTGTCCCATGAATGGATGTCCCCCACCTGTCCCATGCCCACTTGTGCCCCCCACTGTCCCATGAACTGATGTCCCCCCTGTCCCATGTCCCACCCGTGCCCCCTGGTGCCCCTGAGCCTCATTGAGTGCCCCGCAGTCCACGCACAGCGAGTTCCCACGGGCACTGCTGCCCCATGAATGGATGTCCCCACCATGTCCCATGTCCCAGCCATGCCCCCGGTGCCCAGGGACTCACTGGGTGCCCCGCAGTCCACGCAGAGCGAGTTCCCGCGGGCGTTGCGGATGGCCTGGATGGCCACGGCCTCGCTCTGGCTGTCCATGCGCGCCTGCAGGGAGGGACCCGGCGGTCAGAGGGGCAGGGGGGTGGCACGGGCACCCTGCCAGCCCCGGCCGAGGTCCCACCTTGTTCTTGCTGCTCTCGCAGCACTGCAGGCTGGCCAGGATCTGGCTCTCGATGGCCTGCACCCACGCGTCGCGCTCCTCGAAGCTGCCGGCCTCGAAGTGCCACGTCTGCCCCGTGCTGGACACGATCAGGAACTCAAAGTTCTCCTCCTCTGCGGGACCAGAGACCCCCGAGGGGGCGGTGGGATGGGGGTCCTGCACCCACGGCGGGCTGGACTGGCCCAGCACCCACTCCAGCCCCCCACATCCACCCCTGGCACCCAAATGCTGCCCACCCCCCTCCCCGGTGGTCCCCACCCCTGCTGGGGTGTGTGCTGGCAGCAGGCAAGGGGGGCACAGCCACATGCACGGGAGGCACCGCTCACGCCACGTTACCTGTTTTATAAATATTTCTTAAACTACCAAAACTTTTTAATTTCCACATTTTGCGCTTGGCTGCGGAGGGTCCGGGCAGCAGGAGTAGAGAGAGGAAACGGGGACAGAGTCAGGGGGGCCCACGAAGCCCTGGGGACGGTGCAGAAGGTGGCAGGCAGTGGCAGAGCGAGGGGGATGCGTGGACAGCGTGGCTGAGCATGGGCGGGGGGTGAGGGGCAGCATCACCCCAGATCCCCCCGAATTCTGGGGCGCCGTTGCCGTGGAGGATGGTGGCCTTGTCCCCATGGGTGACTGGGGCTGGGGACCCATGGCTGTGGCACCCACCTTCTGCCTGCCCACCCGAGCCCTCGGTCTTGGACGGCGTCATCAGCTTCTTCCGCCGGTGCTTCTTCCTGTCCACCAGCGGCGAGGGAGGAGGGTCCCTGCCCGCGCTGCCGGGGCTGGGCACGGCCTCGAAGGACAACGGGGACTCTGCAAGACACCACACGCGGGGGCTGGGGGCACCAGAGTCACCGGGGTCACCAGGGGCACCAGGGGCACCAGAGTCACTGGGGTCACCAGGGACACCACGGACACCAGGGACACCAGGGACACCAGGGGCACCAGGCTCCTGAGGACCAGGGAGACCACCAGGAGCACTGAGGCCACCAGGGTCTCCAAGTCCATCAGAGCCACCCAGGTCAGGCCTATCAGGGTCACCAAGTCCACTTGGGCCACCAAAGCCACTGGACGCACTGGGGTCACAAGGGTTAGGGGTCTCCCAGAGGTGCTGGGCGTACATCAGAGCTCACCAGGGTCACTGATCTCACTGGGGTCTCACTGGGATCACCAGGACCCAACCCCAAGGCCACCAGGTTCATTGGTCTTACCAAAATCCCTGGGGTCACAAGAGCCTCTTGGCTCTTGTCATGAGGGTCACCAGGGCCACGGGGCTCACCAGGCTCACCAGGTTCATTGTGGCTTCTGGGACTCCCAGGTCCATGTGCTCACCAGGGCCAGCAGTTTCACTGTGGCCACCAGCACCACCAAAGGGCCACCTGGTCCCTGGGATCACCAGGACCACCAGGGTTATTGTGGTCACTGGGATCAGCAAGAGCCACCAGGTCCCTGAGCTCACCAAATCCACCAGTGTTATTGTGGTCACCAGGGCCACCAAGGTTCTTGTGGCCACCAGGGCCACCAGAACCACCAGGGCCACCAAGGGCCACCAGGTCCCTGAGCTCACCAAATCTACCAGAGTTCTTGTGGTCACCAAGGCCACCAAGGGCCACCAAGTCTCCGGGCTCACCAACTCCACCAGGGTTATTGTGGCCTCCAGAACCACCAGAACCACCAGGGCCACCAAGCACCACCAAGGCCACCAGAGCCACCAGGTCCCTGAGCTGCTCAGGAGTCACTGTGCTCAGTGGCTGGGTGAGGTGGGTGGCCCGGGAGGTGGCCCGGGAGGTGGCCGTGTCCCGGGCTGTGCCGTGTCACCCACCTGAGGCGAGCTTGGCGCCCGAGGCGGAGGCGCAGCGCTGCAGGGACCCCTTGCCCACCACCTTCAGCCCTGGCTCGGGGGGCAGGCTCAGCCCCACCGAGGGGACGCCGCCTGCAGGGGGGAGGGGCAGTGTCACGGCTGTCCCCGCGGTGTCCCCCACCCCTCGGCGGCCCTGGCGCTCACCGCCCGGCTCGGGGTCCCGCAGCAGCCCGTTGATGCTGGCCGAGGGGCCGCAGGCGGAGATGGCGCGCGGCGGGCGCTTGCCGGGCACCTTGACCGTGGTGCGGAGCAGGTCCATCTCCTTGCCGTGCGTGCTGTGGATGTAGTCCTGCGGGGACAGCCGGGGTGACACGGGGCTCTCCCGCCCCTTGGGGACCGCGGCGGGACGGGGACACTCACGTTGATGCTGGGGTGGTAGAAGAGGAGGCCGTTGCTGGACAGGGTCACGTATTTCTTCTTCCACTCCTTGTTCAGGGAGTTGCCGCTGCGCTTCAGCAGGAAGCTCTGGGGACAGGGAGCAGTGAGGGGACACAGGGGACACCGGCACCCAGCCACGCCCTCCTGCCACCGCCACCACCCACCTGCTTGATGGGGATGGCCCGGCCACTGCCGGCCACCTCGCCTCGGCTGTCCAGGCTGCGCTTCTCGGAGTCGCTGCCACGGCGCGTCTGTGGGCACGGGGCGGGGACAGGGGTGGCACTCGTGGCACAGCCAGGGACACTGCCGTGCCCACATGTCCCCCGCTGCTGGAGCCTGGTGGTGGGGACACCGGGGTGCCACAGGCCCCACCACTGCGGCCCGGCCCCATGGTGGGAACACCCTGGGTGCCCACGTGTCCCTCAGTGCCACCACCCTGTCACAGGGCACGGTGGATGCCATGTGTCCCCACCACCCTGCTAGAGGACACATCAGAAGCCCCATGGTGGGGACACCCTGGGTGCCCTGCGCGTCCCTCAGTGCCACCACCACCATGCCAAGGGGACAACTGAGATGCCACGCGCCCCTCAATGTCACCACCCTGCCAGGGGACGCCTGGGCTGCCATGTGTCCCTTGCTGCCACCACCCTATCAGGATGACGCTCTGGCTAACACATCCCCCCGTGTCACCACCGCCACGGCGGGTGCGTGGTGCCCGCGGTGCCACCCCGGCCGGGCACTCACGGCGAAGAGGCTGGTGCGGCGCTTGGCCCCGCGGTGCAGCGAGCCGGGCGTGCCCAGCGGGGCCGGGGTCTCGCTGCGCAGCTCCCGGTGGCTCACGTTGGGCGTGGAGGGCAGCGAGGACGAGTAGTCGCTGGTGTGGCCCCCGTTGCTGGTCTGGGGGGACACGGGGTGAGCCTGGGCAGTGCCCGGGGGCCGGGGCGGGGGGCCAGGGCGGGGGCCGGGGGTTACCTGGCTGGGGTGGACGCCCCCCACGGGGGTGGAGGCGGCAGAGTGGCTCGGGGAGCTGGGCAGGGACTTGCAGGACGCCATCAGCTGCTGCTGCTTCTTCAGCGCCACGGCCTTCTGGGCCACTGCAGGGAGCTGAGTCAGGAGGGCTGGACCCCAACCTGCCCAGGCACCGCCTGGGTACCCACACCTGGACACGGGCCCCATCCCACCTGGACACGGGCACCACCCTCATCCCACCTGGGCACTGTCCCCATCCCACCTGGACACTGTCCCCATCCTCATCCCACCTGGACACTGTCCTCATTCCATCTGGACATGATCCCCATCTCACCTGGACACTGTCCCCATCCTCATCCCACCTGGACACTGTCCCCATCCCATCTGGACATGGTCTGGTCCCCATTCCACCTGGACACCATCCCCACCCTCATCCCACCTGGCCACTGTCTCCATCCCACCTGGGGTGGAGATGGTCCCTGACCTACCCAGGCGAGGGTCTGCCCCACCTGGACATGGTCCTCTGCACTACCCTGTCCACTGCCTCCATCCCACCTGGACACGGTCCCTGTCTCACCCGGACTTGGCCCCGTGGCCACCACCCTCCTCAACCCAGACGTGCTCCCATGCTGGCCACCACCCCTGTCTGACCAGGTCACTACGCCCATCCCACCCGGCCGTGGTTCCCATCACACGGTGGTCACTGTCCCCACCTCCTGGTGTCACCAGCCCCCTCCCCCCCCCCGAGGACGGTCACCCACCCTCGGTGAAGACCCGGTCCACGTTGAGGCCGTAGGTGGCGCAGGTCTCGTAGTAGAGGCAGCGCCGCATGTCCCCGCAGAGCGCCCGGGCGCGCGCGTCCTCCACCGCCCGCGGGCTGGACGAGCTGATCTTGTCTGGGGAGTCAGGGGCTCAGCTGGGGGTGCCCCACGCCGCTGCCACCCCCACAGATCCCCCGTGCCCCCTGGCTCACCCTGCGTGCCCACCAGCGCCAGGGCCACGTCGCTGGTGCCGCGGAGGTCGCAGAGCAGCGCGTGCAGCTGCGCCACCTCCTCGAAGCTGCTCTCGCTCTCCAGGCTGAAGACGAAGATGACGGCGTCCGCCCAGCTGGCAAACTGGGGGGCCACGGGCGGGGTCAGGGCTCGGCTCCGGCCAGCGTGGCCCCCCCGGGCCCCGGTCCCCTCGTACCTGTGCATCCGGGGCGCCCGCCTCCTCCCGGATGAGCAGGAGGTGGCTCTGGCCATCCACTGTCACCTCACGCTTGAACTGGCCACCTGCAGCGGGGAGGGGAGGGGAAGGGGGGACCCTGCAGGTGTCCTCCACCCATGTGGATGGAACCTCCCATGGGCATGACCAGCACCATGGGTGAGCAGCCCTGACCCCAAAAGGCCCACAGCCATGACCAGCACCATGGGTGAGCAGCCCTGACCCCAAAAGGCCCACAGCCATGACCAGCACCATGACCTTGCCCATTCTGTGGCCACGTCCATCCCCTTCACCATCTCCACACCTGTCCATGCCCAGCATCATGACCTTGCCCATTCCATGACTGTGTCATCCCCTGGTCATGCCCAGCCCCACCACATGTCCATCCCATGCCCAGCTCCATGGATATGTCCCCTCCTCCATCTCCATCCCCATCCCCATGGACACTCCATCACTGAACCCATGCCCCTGATTTGTCCATGGTTGTGCCCATCCCATGCCCATGATCGTGTCCATCCTACAGTCCCACCCATCCCATGCCCACGGTCATGTCCATGCCCCAACCATGGTCGTGTCCATACCATGGTCACATCCATCCCATGCCCACGGTCATGTCCATCCCATGCCCATCATCACATCCATCCCATGGTCACCTCCATCCCATGTCCATGGTAATGTCCATCCCATGGCCATGTCCATCCTGTGCCCATGGTCGTGTCCATCCCATGGTCACATCCATCCCATGCCCATGGTCATGCCCATCCCATGGTCATGCCCATCCCATGCCCATGATCACATCCATCCCATGCCCATGGTCATGCCCATCCCATGGTCATGCCCATCTCATGCCCATGGCTGTGTCCATCCCATGCCCATGGTCACATCCAACCCATGCCCATGGTAATGTCCATCCCATGGTCATGTCCATCCCGTGCCCATCCCATGCCCATGATCACGTCCATCCCGTGGTCATGCCCATCCCATGCCCACGTCCCCCCCATGGCCACTCACTCTCGGTGGGCTCCAAGCCCACATAGGAGCCAGTGAGGAACCGATGGACGAGCGCCGACTTCCCGCTCTTGCTGCTGCCCAGGACCCCCTGGGTGGGCAGAGGGGGTGTCAGGATGGCTGGGGACACGGTCCTCAGGGGACATGGGGACATGGGGACACAGGGACATGGGGACATGGGGACACAGGGACATTGGGAGATGGAGATATGGGGACACAGGGACATGGGGACATGGGGACACAGGGACATTGGGAGATGGAGATATGGGGACACAGGGACATGGGGACATGGGGACACAGGGACATTGGGAGATGGAGATATGGGGACACAGGGACATGGGGACATGGGGACACAGGGACATTGGGAGATGGAGATATGGGGACACAGGGACATGGGGACATGGGGACACAGGGACATTGGGAGATGGAGATATGGGGACACAGGGACATGGGGACATGGGGACACAGGGACATTGGGAGATGGAGATATGGGGACACAGGGACATGGGGACATGGGGACACAGGGACATTGGGAGATGGAGATATGGGGACACAGGGACATGGGGACATGGGGACACAGGGACATTGGGAGATGGAGATATGGGGACACAGGGACATGGGGACATGGGGACACAGGGACATTGGGAGATGGAGATATGGGGACACAGGGACATGGGGACATGGGGACACAGGGACATTGGGAGATGGAGATATGGGGACACAGGGACATGGGGACACGGGGACATGGGGACACGTCACCCACCAGGCGGATCTCGGGGATAGAGCGGCCCAGCGTCCACTCCTGGCTGTTCACCAAGGCCTCTGCGGAGGGAGAAGGGTGAGACAGAGCCCAGGGACCCCCGGGCAACCCCCAGCAGGCGCTGGCACCCCCAGGAGCCCCAGTCCCGGGGGGCCCCCGCCCCACCCCGCGGCGCAGCAGCCGCTTCCTGCGTGGGCGGCCACCAGCTGTCACCCAGCAACGGCGCCGGGCCCGCGGGGGCGGCAGGACGTGGAGATGCCACGTGGCAGGGACGGGGACGCGGCAGCACGAGGCGTCGTGTGCCAAGGCACGAGGACGCAGAGGGCACGGGGACACGGTGGGCACGGGGATGGACAGCACGGCGTGGCACAGGGACACGATGGGGACCATGACGGGCACCAGGACACCGGGTGGCACGAGGACGTGGTGTGGGCGTGAGGACACAACGGATCCCAGGAGGTGACAGCCGTGAGGGCACAGAGTGGCACCAGGACGTGGTGTGGCATGGGGACGCAGTGGGAGCCACCAGGCCGGGACACGGCGTAGCACAGGGATGTGGCATGAGGACACGACGGGCACCAGGGCACAGCACGGCAGGAGGATGTGGGGTGGCACAAGGACACCACGGACTCCAGCACACGATGGGCACGAGGACACGATGCCAGCGGTGCACGACAGCCCCAGGCCTGAGGATGCAGCGTGGGGTGAGCACAAGGTGTGGCACAGGGACACGATGGACGCCAGGACACGGCGTGGCAGTGTGGCACTGGGACATGGTGTGGCACAAGGACAGGACATGGCACTGGGACATGGTGTGGCACAAGGATGAAGCATGGCATGAGGACACAGTATGGCACAGGGACACGGTGTGGCACAAGGACAGGACATGGCATGAGGACACAACGTGACACTGGGACATGGTGTGGCATGAGGACAGGACATGGCAAGGGCAGGACATGGCATGAGAACGTAGCATGGCACAGAGACATGGTGTGGCACATGGACAGGATGTGGCACGAGGACAGGACATGGCACAAGGAGGACACAGCGTGGCACTGGGACATGGTGTGGCACAAGGATGAGGCATGGCACAAGGAGAATGAGGCATGGCCCTGGGACACAGTGTGGCACGAGGACAGGACATGGCATGAGGACACAGCATGGCACACGATGGGCACAAGGCTGCGGTGGCACCAGAGCACAGCACGTGTGGCACTGGGACGCGGCGTGGCACAAGCACCTGGCGTGCCACAAGGACGTGCCCTGTGCCCCCCACATCTCCTACCTGGCATCCCCAGCCCCTCTGGGCAGCGGTGGCACCGCAAAGGGGGAACCTGAGGCCGGGCACAGCCAGAGGGTGCCCCCCTTTCTGTGCCTCAGTTTCCGCCACCAGCACGGAGCCGGGGCCGTGCCACGCGTGCCAGCCGGGAAAGGGTTAACGCCGCTGCCTGTCACCCCTCACATTGTCACCGAGCTGCCACCCCCGGCCCTGCAGGTGCTGCCCACGCACCCCGCGGTGCCAAGGTGCGTGCAGGCAGACAGGGGGACGCCGGGGGGGACAGAAGGACACGGGGGGGCCGGACAGATGGGGGACAGGATGCACGGGTGTGACGCACGGATGGAGGCGAGGACAGACGGACGGATGGCGGGACAGAACGACGGAAGGGGGGGGGGGTGGCCCCTGACCCCCGTGGAGTTCCCCCAGTGGGGAAACTGAGGCACAGGATCCCCACCATGGGGACCCCCCCCATGGCCAGCACCGCGCCCCGCCAAATCGGGGACCTCACACGGCCCCAGGGCACAAACACGGCCCGGGGGTCACAGACACCTGAATCGACAGAGTCCTGAACACCACAGCCCCCCTGAACCCCACAGCCCCCCTGAACACCACAGCCCCCCGGGTGGGTGGGGGTCGCCGCGGGGCTCTTGGTGAAGATGCCGCTGATGAACTTGAGCATCTTTCGGTCGCGGGTGGAGGCGCGACCCCCCTCGCGTCCCCGCTTGAGGCCGGTCTCGGGGGCGGGGGCGGGCACCAGACCCCCCGGCTGCAGGTCGCTGTAGTCCAGGGTCTTGCTCTTGCCCTTGCTGGGGGACAGCCGGGCCCGGGGGGGCCCCTCGCTCTTGCCCCCCGCCTTGGGGCGCCCCTTGCCCTCTCCCTCGGGCCACGAGAGGCGGCTGCCGGCCGCTTTGCCGGGGGCTTTGCCCGCCCGGGGCTCGGGGGTCCCGCGGCTCCCCCCGCCGCCGCCCCCCGCTTTGGGGGGCTTGGGGCCGGCCAGGCGGAGGCGGCGGGCGCCGGCCGAGGGGTGCGGGGAGGCTGTGGGGGGGTCCAGGGGCGGCGGGGGGGCCCGGCTTCCCTCTGGGGGGCCCTCGGGGCCCCCCCAGGTGGCCTGGCTGAGCAGCGGGCGGCGGGGGGTCGCGGCGGGCTGGGGGATGTCCAGGGCGGCCAGACCCCGCTCCCCCGGCCCCTCCAAGGTGCCCTTGGCCCCGCGGGGGTCGGGTTTGCCTCCCCCGCGGCGCCCACCGACTCGAGCTTGACCAGCGTGAGCGAGATGAGGTAGGTGGTCCTGCGCTGGAGGCCGGTGGTCCTGCTCATGGGTGCGGGCAGGGCCCCCCCGGGGCGCCCCCCCGGCCCCCGGCTCCGGCTCCGGCACCTGCTGGGCTGCCGGTACCCCCGCACCCCGATAGCCCCCGCCGCCTCCGGTCCGTCCGTCCATCCATCCATCCATCCATCCATCCATCCATCCATCCATCCATCCATCCATCCATCCATCCATCCATCCATCCATCCATCCATCCATCCATCCATCCATCCATCCATCCATCCATCCATCCATCCATCCATCCATCCATCCATCCATCCATCCATCCATCCATCCATCCATCCATCCATCCATCCATCCATCCATCCATCCATCCATCCATCCATCCATCCATCCATCCATCCCTCCCGCTGCCCCCCGCACCCCCAAATCCCCTCCCTCCCCTTCCCGGGACAGCAGCGCTGGCTGGGGAGGGGGCCCGTGGTGAGGAGGGGGCGTGGGGGCTGCTTTGGGGATTTTCGGGGGGCTTCGCGGGGCTCGGGGCAGGCTCATCCACCCCTTTTCTGGCATTTTTAGCAGCGGCGCAGCATCCCTGCGCATCCCGTTACCACGGCAACGGCGGGGACGGCGCTGGGAGCAGCCGTGGACCCCCCGTGTCACCCTCGTCACTCCCGTGTCACCCTCGTGGACCCGGGCCAGGTATCACGGCCACTGGGGTCCCCCACGGCAGCGTGACCCCCCCGGCCTGGGGGCACACGGGGCTCGGGGCACGGTGGGACCCTCGGCCCCCTGTGCCCGCCGGAGGTCGGGCGGGGGTCCCGGCCCTGCGGGGCCCTGCGGGGCCCTGTGTGCCCCCCACGCGCGGGGTCCCCCGGGCCTGGCACCGCTCCGGGCTGGGGGGCCACCCCCAGAGCTGTCCCTGCTGCCACCCCAGGGCTGTGACCCTGGAGCTGGCTCTGTCCTGGTGCGGGATCTGCCCCCAGCACCCCGTGGGGACAGTGCTGCCCCCTCCAGTGCCCCCCTGTCCCTTCCGGTGTCCCCCGGCTGTCCCCAAGCACGGGCCACGCCTCCCCCTCGCTCAGATGTCCCACTCTGTGGGGGGGGGCGGCACGGGGCACGGCGGGTCCGACCCTGCCACCACAACACCCCCTCCCGAGCTCCGTGGGTACCACAGCGGGCGCCTGGCAACGCGGCATCCCCCGGCTTCCCATTGCCATGGCAACCGCGCGGGATATGTCAGAGCGGGGGGGGCGCACGACGATGTGGGGGCTCGGTACGGGCGGGGGGCGGCGACGGAGCCCCTCCCCAAGTGACGTCACCGCGTGGGTCGGGGGAATCGGGGGGAGGAGACCCCAAACCCTCACAGCCCCCGGCCCCCCCCCGCAGACGCAGGGAGGAAGTGGCCCCGTTCCCACAGCGCGGGCGGAAACCGCCCCGGGGCCCCGGCACGGAAACGGGGGGCCCCCAGCCCCAGCGGGGCCTGCACCCCCCGCCCCCCTCGGGGGGTCCCCCCGGGGGGCTGGCACTGCCAGACCCCCACTGCGGCACCGGGGGGCAGGGACACCCTGAGCGGGGACAGGACCAGCCGAGGACAGCACCAGTGTGGGGCTGGGGGGACACCAGTGTCACATCTGTCCATCTGTCTGTCTATCTGTCCATCCATCATCCATCCATCCATCCATCCATCCATCCATCCATCCATCCATCCGTCCATCCCTTCCATCTGTCCATCCATCATCCATCCACCTGTCCATCTGTCCATCCCTCTGCCTGTGTATCTGCATCCACCTGTTTGTCCATCCACCGGTTCACTCATTCATTGTCCACCCACCCCTCCATCCCTTCCATCCGCCTGTCCATCCATGCCTCCAGCCAGCTCCCTGTCCGTCTGTCTGTCCTTCCACCTTTCCATCCATCCATCCATCCATCCATCCATCCATCCATCATCCATCCATCCTTTCCACCTGCTCTCCTGTCCATCCATGCCTCCAGCCGGCTCCCTGTCTGTCTGTCCATCCCTCCATCCATCCCCTTGTTCCTCCACCTATCTGCCCACACCTCATCTCTCCACCCATCCACGTATCCTCCACCTGCAGGATCCATCCATCCTGTCCATCCCCTGTCCACCCTCTGTCCACGCTCTGTCCATGCTGCTGTCCCCCTGCCCGCGCCCCCCGTGTCCCTCAGTGTCCCCCCGCTGTCCCCGCTGTCCCCAGCTGTCCCCCCGCTGTCCCCAGCCGTCCCGCTGTCCCCGCTGTCCCCGTACCTCGGAGGGCCCGCAGGGCGCTGCTCAGGCTGCGGCGCAGCTGCGGCTCCGGCACGGTCTCCACCAGCCGCACCAGGCGGTTCAGGTGGCCCTTGGCCCCCTCGTGCCGGGCCACCTCGGCGCGGATGGCGGCCAGCACCTGGCGCCGCTCGCGGGGGGCCCCCATGGCGCCCCCGGGACCCCGCTCGGGCCCGGCTGTTCCGCCGCGCTCGCTTCCTGCCCGAGCCGCGGCCTCACCCGCGGGGACACGTCACGGCCCGCGCGGGGCTGCGCGCCGCGACACGCCGCGACACGCCGGGACACGCCAGGACACGCCAGGACACGCCAGGACACGCCGGGGCACGGGCACGGCCCGGCACGCCCGACGCGCCAGCCCGGCACGCCAGCGACGTGGCACGGGGGACACGGGGGGACACACGCACGGGTGGGCGCCGTGGGGGACGCCCCGGGGACACGGCGGGTGCTGGGGACACCCTGGGGGGCTCAGGACACCCACGGGGCGCTTGTGCAGACACGCGGACACGCTGGGGACACGTGTGAGGTGACACGGACACAGCAGTGACATGCTGGGGACACACGGGCATGCTGGGGACATGTGTGAGGTGACACGGACACAGCAGTGACACGCTGGGGACATGTATGGGCACACGGGCAGGCTGGGGACGTGCAGTGACACACGGACATGCTAAGGACATGTGCAGCCATGTGGACATGCCAGTAATGTGTGGAGTGACAGGGACATGCTGGGGACATGTGCAGTGACACATGGACATGTGTGGTGACACATGGACATGCTGGGGCCATGTGCAGTGACACACGGACATGTGCAGTGACACACGGACACGCTAAGGACACGTGTGCCATCCCATACACACACAGCCCACCCCACGTGTCCCCTCAGTGTCCCCGTGTCCCCCCAGGCAGGGCAGGGGCCCTGGGGGTGTCCCTGTGTCCTCCCCCAGCCATGGACCCCTGCCCATCCCCCACAGGGGGTCCCAGGCCCTGGGGGGGGTCCCAGTGCCACCTCCTGCACACCACCTGCGGAGGGTGACGGTGGTCACCGTGGGGTGACAGCAATCACTGGGGGGTCCCAAAATCCACTGGGGGGTCCCAGCGGTCACCGTGGGGTCCCAGTGGTCATTGTGGGGTCCCAACACGCACTGGGGGGTCCCAGCACTCTTTGGGGGTCCCCAGTGTCCCCACCCCCGGCACCGTCCCAGGCAGAGGCAGGAATGGGGGTCCTGGCGGGTTTATTGAGGTGTCGGGGGGTCCTGGGGGGTTCCTGAGGGGTCAGGGGGTCCCGGGGGGGTCACTGGGGGGTCAGGGGGTACGCGGAGGCCACGAGGCGCTGCTTGTCCCATGTGTAGGTCTGGATGGTGGCGGCTTCGCCCCCCAGGCTGACGTGGCACCTGCAGGGACAGCGAGGGTGACCGCGGGTCGGGGACCCCCGGGTGGCCCCCACGACCCCCGGGGGGCCGCCAGGGCAGCCCGTGGGTGGCAGCGCCCTGCCCGCGGTGCCCGCACTCACTGGCTGTCGGGCCGTGCCAGGAAGCAGAGCGTGAACAGCGCCAGGTCGAACTCGGGGCTGGAGCCCACCAGGAGCGACCCCCGCGATTTGAGGTGCCCGTCCCAGCGGAACCGCAGCGACAGCACGTCCGGGAAGGCTGTCCACTGCCGGGGCACGGACAGACAGACGGACAGACACAGACAGTGCCGTGGGTGCCCATCCCGGCGCGGCCAGGAGCCCAGATCGCTGCGGGGGGGTCTCACGGGGGGCACCGGGGTGGGCAGGGGGTGCCCGGGTCAGGGGGACAGGGACACAGAACCCCGCGGGCACGGACACGGGGTACAGCCCTGGGGGGACCCCGGGTGTGGCCTCGGGGACACCGGGGATGCTGCAGGGCAGGACGGAGGATGGGACAGGGGACAGCCAGCGGGACACGGGGACCTCGAGGTTCCAGGGAAATGGGGGGGGATCTCAGGGGCACTGCGGGGGGCACAGTGACAGGGGTCATCCCAGGGGACACGGACCGTGGCTGGGGACACTGCAGGGGAGGGGGGGGAAGCCAAGGGCAGCTGCCCCGCTCTGTGTCCCCACCCCCTGCTCGGGGAATCCCCCCCGTGTCTCCATGTCCCCATGTCCTCCATGTCACCTGTCCCTCGTGCCCCCTGTGTCCCCATGTCCCCCGTGTCCTCGTGTCCCCCGTGTCCCCCATGTCCTCTGTGTCTCCATGTCCCCTAGTGCTGCCCAAGTCCCTCAGCCAGGGAATCCCCCCCCATGTCCCCATGTCGCCCACTGTATCCCCTGTCCCCACTCACGGGCCCGTCCCAGGTGTGCCCCAGGTACTGCAGTCCCCCCCATGTCCCCCCATGTCCCCATGTCCCCATGTCCTCCCTCAGGACGGCCCCGCCGGTTTCTCCTTCTGGGCCTGGCTGGACGGGATCCTGGGGCTGATCCAGGAGCACCTCAAGCAGCTCTGGAAGAACGGGTAGGAGCAGGGCTGGGGAGGGGTCTGGGGGTGGTCCTGGGGGTCCCGGGGGGGCCGCGGGAGCTGACGGTGCCTCCCCCAGACTCAGATCGGA